CAGCTGTATATGATTGGTGCTCCACAGGAAGTGGCCCCATTCAGCTGTGGCAGTTCCTGCTGGAGCTTCTGACCGACACGAGCTGCCAGAGCATCATCAGCTGGACCGGAGACGGCTGGGAGTTCAAACTCACCGACCCCGACGAGGTGAGGAGCAGAGCTGAAACCGGTTTAACGTCTAGATGGTTCATGGTGATCAGATGTGTTCTTGTGCCGTCAGGTGGCGCGCCGCTGGGGAAAGAGGAAAAACAAGCCTAAGATGAACTACGAGAAGCTGAGTCGAGGCCTGCGCTACTACTACGACAAGAACATCATCCACAAGACGTCAGGGAAGCGCTACGTGTACCGCTTCGTCTGCGACCTGCACAACCTGCTGGGATACACGGTGGAGGAGCTGCATGGCATGCTGGGAGTGCAGCCGGACACCGAGGACTGAAGCGCTCGCGGAGACACCTGTGTCACGTCCTGACCTCAGCGGAGGTCTCTGTTTCGTCACGCGGCCGGAGCGCGATTCTCGCTGCGGTTCTTCGGTCAGCCGAGCGTTAAACACGCTTTTAAACACTTGACACTGGATTTGATCTTTCGACGCTGTGTTCACTAAAACCAGGTGATTCCTGTAATAATGTAGACTAACGAAGAGACGGGAGCCTTAGAGAGAGAGTTTATTTTCCGGGATCGGCTTGAGAGCCAGCGCTGATCTTTCCATGTATTCAGAACTGGATTTTCAGGTTCGGATCACATCTGGTGGCCTGTCTAACGGAGAGACTCAATCACTCTGAACTTTGATTTTGCTTTGATTTGATCTGGGATATTGGTCCAGGATTTTGCGGCCGCTTCTGTTGTTCCTGTATGTTTTGTGAGCGTTTCGGTAGAAACCACTGTTCGTGAGACGCTCGGTGTATTTATTCGAGTCTAGCTGGACCGTGGAGGTGTTCTGTATTGTTGCTGGTTTTCGCTCAGGCCAAAGGGACGTGGAGATTTCCCGTCTGAATGTTTACCAAAGCTACGAGGCGTCTCGGCACGGTTAACCTGCGGGCGTTCGCCAGACGCTGAGGAGACACTGAAAGCTGCTGTAATCTGTCGGTGCGTTTGCTTTCGTTTCCTACACTGATGATCTTTCAAGAGTTATGCTTAAATTTATGCTGTACATTTACTCTAGACTTCTACACTCTACATCTGCGTTACTGTAGAGGACTATTATTATTATTATTATTATTATTATGAGAATTTATACAGAAACCGTGTGATTATTCATCACTGCGTCTGTAAGTGTGTTTGTATTGTTTTTCTATATACAGTCTATTTTGCAAATTAATATGAAAAGAGCTTTATGATGATTTATTGATCCGTTCAAGTGTTTTTAAGAGAGTCACTGCAGCATCTCTTTATTATCAAGCCTTTATTAGTCAAAGCAGCGCTGTTTGTGCTGAACGTCACAGTGATTTTTACACCAGTGGAAACATGTTCAGCAGGATCTGTGTGTTTGAGCGGTGTTTGACTCGTGAGAATCTGTTCAGACGTGCGTCTTTATGTCATGAACACGCTGCCAACAGCTTAGTATCTCTGAAAGTCAACAAATAAATTCTTGTTAAATGACGTGACGTGTAGAGCCGTTTTCTCTCTGTGTGTGTGTGTGTGTGTGTGTGTGTGTGTGTGTGTGTGTGTGTCTTTTTCTTCTGTGAA